GTTTATTTTACAATTAAACTGAAATCAAATAAAACATAAATTAACTTAATATAATAAATACAACAAGTTATTAAATATTTACAGTAATAAATGTTTAGGAACTATATAGCAGTTACATTTATCATAACATTGATGTTTTTCATAAGGTAGTGGAAATTTCAAATTTGAAAAACTAATAATTTGATATTTTTCTTCCATTTTTTCAATTATTTCATTTGCACATAAGCTCGCATCATAACAAACAGTCTCCCATAATTTACAGTATAAGTCATCGATACGTAAAGCAATAAAATAATTTTTCTTGTAGGTAAAGTGAAATTCAAACTCTGATACTTCATAAACTACACTGCTCAGAGTTAAAACTTCATCAGAGTTTACTTCATTATATGGAATACTGTCAAATAAATTTTCAAGCTTCTTAAATTTTCCTTTTCCGAGTTTTAAAATATTGTCATTTTCGTTCAATTCATTCCATTTGTAGTATATGAATTTTTGGTGCTGACTGGCCAACATTTTTGGAACATTGATATAATTTTTGTATAGAGAAATTAACTTTTTAAAGTAGTTATGCTTAGCTTCAAACCTCATACACCACAAATAAATTAAAGGTCCCATAAGTAAAATGACAGTCGCGTAGTGAAGCATAAAGTGATGTTTAGGCGTCAACTTCATTCCAAATACAGACAAGACTAAGGCGTGATGTTCTTCAATAAGTTCTTTTAAATAACCAATATTTCTACGAGTTATCGAAGGAGAGAACACTATCAGCAAAATTTGTATCAGTAAAGTAATTACATACCAAATTCGACTCACTTCAGGTTTCTGAATCACGTCACTAATAATGAGCGGTAAAAATCTAATTAAAGTCCATGTCTGAGCTGCTCGCTGACCAATCAATCCAGATTGCTTTAATACTATTGGACTCGGTCGATTTTTAATTTCAATGCTTCCAAAATCAAATTCATAAATTCGAGCATTTATTGTATCTAAAGTAAGTATTTTATTTTTAGTAATAAATTCAATAAGAAAATGAATTTCACGTTGAACCACTCCTTCTAACAAATCATGCATTATATCCACAGAATAAGCATTAAAAATATGAAAATAATTTGAGTTTAATGCTGATTTCCCTTTAATTCCTAAATAATGTTCTAAATTTTCTTTATCAATTTTTTTTACAAATATCGTCATATAATTATCTTGTTTTCTCAGTGTTGATTCATTTTCAGTTGTCATTGTTTTTGTTTCTTCGCTAGTTGATGTACATATCCTACAAAAATATGTCGCGTTAAATGATTTAACCATATTAAATAAAGTATTACCACCTAAATTATCAAAGCTTAACGATATTATTGTTCCTCTGATATTTTTATTGCCAATGGTAAGACCAGTCGTTTCCAAAATTTTTATGTCTCTCATTAAAGGCTTGAGAGCTTGGTCAATACTTACAATATCAATAGTTCGAAATAAACTGGCTAAATGAATATGATGAAGTTTTGAGTTCAGTTGAGACGGTAAATTTCTTATAACAAAATAAATAGCACCAATTTTATAATTTTTTGTTTTGCTGCCCATAGGGTTTGCACATTGAAATTAATCAAAATAAAGCTGAATTTGGAAAGCATCTTTACACTCTTTAAACAAATTATTATTTTGATAATATGTTCCATGACACGTAGAAGATAAAATATTTGAATTTTCATTTTTGCCTTCATTAAAAAGAAATGTAGTGTTTCCGTTCAATAGAATAAATTCTATTTGTTTCAAAATAGGTATATATGTTATTTTACATGGAACAGGTATAGATTCATATTTTCGTAATCGATAATTAAATTTTAATTTTCGTTTAACCGCGACAATAATTTCTGTAGGATGAACAAAATCAGATAAGCTTTCATAGAATTTATCTCTCTTATAATCTGTACTGAAGGGCTCCAAAACATTTCTCTGATCAGCTAAATATTTATGTAAACTTGAGTTTGGCTCCAACAATTTTTTTTTCAGAAAGTTCATTTTCAATATTATCAACAATATTGATTGATAATTTTTTTGTAGCTTCTACTACTTTTTGGAGCGATGATTTCGGGATTCCGGAGGCAAATAATTGAAGAACATATTTTCCACCAATTGATTTTTGTAGTTTATTGGAAGTTTTTTTATGATTATTGACAATTCTGTTCTGATTTAATTTATTGTTTAGATATAATTTGTCAGATATCTTTTGAATTAATCGATTACGCATTAAACAAGAATCAATATTTTTACTTTTTGAAATTACTGAGTCGTTTTTACTTCTGATGGCCTTTGTTTGTAATTGTTGATTACTTGGCCCCCTTGGCCCCGATTTGAAGTGGTGATGCAAATGTCTTCTATAACCACTAAATGTTTTGTAAGTATTCCTGCAATAACCAACAGTACAGGACAAACGTAAATCGATATTTTGTGATAGTTTGTGTGTTTTATGGAGATGACCGATTAAAATATTAATCGCTGTTAACTTTTCTCCACACATAAAACACTTCAGTTCCATATTTAATTATACCCTAGCGGATCGCTATACACTAAGTATACACCAAATATACACGGTGTATACGCGGCGTATATACACTGAGTATACACCAAGTTTACACCAAACATTTTTTTCAAGTCCCATTTTCATAATGGAATTTCTAAGTGCTGTAAGCAAAGTCAAAAATTTTTTAAGTGTGACTGGGACAAAATTTTTTTACAACCAAAATAAGTGTTTCTGTATCGACTGGAAATAGCCTGAAACGAATCAACAACATATAATCAAATATATTCAATTCTAAATATATTAAAAAAAAAAATCGGAATTACATAAAGAAAATAATTTTCAATTATTTAAAAAAATCCTTCAAGAGCCCCAGTAATTGTACATTAAACTGTGACAGGCTGCAGTACTTGAACACCTCTGTACCAGAACTTGAACAATCATTTAGTATGGCTTTAGACATTTTTTGTTAAAATAAAAATAAAAGATTTTAGGCCCAAAAATAAGTATTTATTATAAATGACATTAAAGTTAGCAGTCACTTGACTATTTTTTAATTTTTTTAGCAAATAAATAAATTTGTTCCAAAAAATTATTTTTAAAAAATTGCATTTTTAATTTTTTTAAATTTCTAAATGTCAATTTTTTTTACCATGATTTACTTGTTAAAAAAATTCTTAAAATTATCAAATATCTGCTAAATTATATTATAAAATTAACACTAAACATACATTTAAGTCCTTTACTTTAAGAAACATTCAAATGTATTTTTACCTTTTGTTTACAATGTGAGGTTAGAACGTGTAATTTTTTTTTTATTTCTCAAACACTAATATTCGCCCTAAAAATAATAAATTTTGTTTATAGTTTTTTTTATTTTCTTTATTAGTATAATTTTTTAGTTACCATACGATTAAAAGTATTTTTTAAAACACTTTAAAATATTTATTTAACATTGAGTTAGACAGTTCAAGTACTGCAGTCACGTAAAAATGAGAGACGGTATACTTGAACACACGGCGCTATGTCGTTCAACTTTTGGGTCCTACATTTGAAATTGGGAGGTATACCTGAACAGCTAAATTAAATATAAAAAAATAATTAAAACTCATTATTAACAACAGAATATTTTACAAAATGATCTATATTTTTGATTAGTTAAGTTTTTCTGATGAATTCTCAAATATTTTGGGTTATTTCGCCATTTTTCTATTGTTGTGGTATCATTTTCATTCAAAAATGGATACTAATCGACACTTTCAATGATCCCGTCATTAGATATTAAATAAAATATAATATTTAGCTTTGACATTAAAAAATATTTCTTGTATCATTAACTAAGACATCAAGTTATCTTAATATACATTAAATATTAATGTTTACTGCCGGAGTTTTTTAATAATATAAGAATTTCCAAACTGTTCAAGTACGAGGGCCATTTTTAAAATTGTTCAAGTACTGGGTATTTTACTTAAAAATATTAATTTTTTTTCAAAATTTGATTTTTTTTTAATTTCAATTTTTTTTTTTAAATTTTTTTCACAACTTTTGTTCTGAAGACTTAGAAAAATTTTTTAGTGTATACTCGGTGTAAACTCCGTGTATATTGTGCGCATATACACCGTGTAAATTCAGTGTAAACTTGGAGTGTATTTGGTGTATACTCAATATGCACTGAGTATACACCAAATAAACCCCTAATTTACACTGACACTAAGTATACACCGAGTTTACACGGTGTATATGGATCCGCTAGGGCAACTACTTATTAATATCGTAATTTAAAAATTTGAAATTACAAAAATAATTACTCAAATGAATAACTTAATAAATTGAAACTTGAATATAAATCAAAAACATAAGTTGATATAAATAATTTTATCAATTAATCTTGGCTTAACCAAGAACGAACGTCGCGCATCTTGGCAGTAAACTTGATTTTCTTCATATTATAATAAAAGCTTTGAATGAAATCAAAAAATACTTTTAAAGCAGGATCAAAGTTTGTGTTAAAAACAAAAAAGCTTTTAAAAAAGATGTCAAACGCTGCCTTGGAAGTTATAGCATCAATTGGTATAAAATGACTATCTATAGCAATAAAATAGTGGCTAATAGTAGTTTTGTTTTCACCAATTGCTACCAATACTGGTTGCTTTCCTTCAAGTTTGATGTCTGACAAAAGCTGGCCTTGTTAAAATAAAAAATGTTATCTTAGAAATTTTTAGATAAATCTTATATAAAATGGCTGAGGATTTGTACTGTACCTTGTGAAATAAGATTAAACGATCCACAATAGATGAAAAAGTTTTTGTTTTTTTCTTAGAATTAGATGCGACAGGAAGAAATTTAAGGAGCATCAAATATGCTTTTGTCGTTATATCCCAATCTACAACTAAGTATGTTACTTTGTTAATAAATTAAACTTGTAAAAAGTTGATATTGAATAAAATAATAGGTTCACAGTTTATTGGAAATATTTATTCGATGTTTATGTTAAATTTTCACAACGTTTCATCGGTTTCCCGACTTCTTCAGGTGCTAGAACAATTAAATACAAAATTGAATATTGAATGTTGTGTCAAGTTTAGCAATTGCCTTACCTGACTGTTCATTTGCTTTAAATTCTATTTTATGTTTTTCGGCTTCAAGAAAAATTTTAGAAGGACAGAATTCTTTAATTTCAAGCTCTTGAAAAAGTAAACTGAATTCTAAATCAATCTGAATAAAAATATAAATTAATTTTAATCAAATTATGAACTATAATAAGAATAGACAAACATATTTTAGTTCTAGTTGCTTACAAGATATGGAATATCCAAAAACCGAGGATATAACGAGAAAATCTCAGCACAGTTTTTTCTTCTGTCTTCTAAAGTAATTTTCATAGCTTGTTTGATCTCATTTCTTTGTTTCGTACAATCAGCATTTTGTAGAAACACTTTGTTCATTTCAACTTCTTCAGAACTGTAGCATCGAGTTTTTTCATTTGATTGATTAGTTTCATCAACAGTATTACCAGTGTCAGGAGTATTAACAGCACCAACAGTATCCGCAGTTTCACAGTTTACCTTCTTAAGTGATTTATTCTCTTCTCTGTTACTGTTTTTGAGGCGATTGCCTAAAAATCCACCACGGGTTTCCACATCATAGTACGCTTCCTATAATGATTAAAGATGAAAATTAAATTATATCACTTGCAAGTTGAAATAACAAATTTTAAATATATTTCCAAACATCTACATAGATGTTTAATCATAAGACGTATTTACCCAGCCTTCCAAAGAATATTTGTCTTTTAAATTTGGAAAAACGAGAATAATTTCTTTTGCATAGAGTATTTTGTGTTCTTTTGAAGGATATTTTCCATAGGCCTCTTTCAGAGCATCCACACACAATTGAATCAAAGTTATTCGACTTTGTGGAGTTAGAGACTTTTCCAAAACTTGACGTAAATCCTAGAGTGCAATATTAGTATAATATTAAGTGTTTGTACATATAATTTGGTACTCGTATTCAAATTAATTTAAAGCTTACAAATTTATTCAACTTGACTTTTTTTACTGGTATTTCGGAATCATCATCACTATAACTACTAGAACTGGCTCCATCATTAGTTTTTGCCGTTGATTTTGGAGCTGGATTTTTCGTCGTGATGGTAAAACTGTTGCTAGCAAACAGTTCAAAAACTTCTTCATCAATTATTGTTCCCTCCTTATCACGTAAATCAACAGTCACCGACTCATCAATATTAAAAGATCTTTTAGCTGAAATTGAATTTATTATAACCTAAGTATCAACAAATGGATTCACCCAATCACTTTTTTTTTACTTTGACTCTCAAACGTAAAAGTTCACTTTTATTGTTTATTTATATTAAAAATCCATATAGTCAAGCTTAATAAGAATAATTATAATGAAGAAATTAATAAAAATTCACTTATCAACGCACCAGCACTTATCATGTCACTGTATTTTAATGTCACATCGTCTGAGACAATTTTTACCCACTTTTTGGTGTCTTCATAAGTAACTCGACGCAAACAATTTATTAGAACAGGTTCAACGATTTTGATTCCAAATGGTTGGTTGAGAATATTTTCGAAATTATTCATTATTTTCAATTTTTAATTACCTTAGTAATGTTATGATTTATGATGATTGTAAACATTAAACAGTCAAAAAAGATGGCTACCGTTCAGATGACATAATGTAAAAAAGTTTGGAAAATCCAAAAGTGCACGCCTCATAATCTCATTTTTCACAATAAAATTGATTAAAATAAAATATAAAAAGCAAAATAATAAAAAAGCAGAAAACTCTGCTATGGTTAGTGGCGCCATAACTCTAAGGTGAGGAAAAAAAATTACCATAATAAAATGTTAGATAGATATACAAAAAAATCCACAGTCATATATTAGTTTTCTATAAATAATAATTTAACGACAGTGAATTAAACGCTCATATTAATTGAGAAAATCCGTCGTGTTACTTTAGATAATAAAAAAAAAAAAATTGTTCCGGTACGATCATTTTTTCGACCAATTTCCCTGCCACAGACACCCATCCATACGCGGACGTCCAAAAAAGATTATGTTTAATGTTATTATTTACTATGTTAAACAAAAAAATTGTTATTGAAACATATTTTATGTGCCTGACAAATTATTCGACTTGATACAAGTGTACTCATATTAACCTATAAGTGCGATATAAATAACAAAAAATCAATTTCAGTTTCGAGAAAACTGCTTTTTTTGAAATGTCGAGAGAAGAGCACAACCTCAACGCTTCGCTTATGAGGCGTCGAATATCCAAACTTGAAATAACTGCACTTTTTTATTTTTTGTAAATTTGATTCCTTCGCCGAGATATCGATTGTCAAAGTTTTCTATTGTCTGTTGTCTTGTCCTCTGAGTTCTCTCTCATGAAACTTTAAGGCTAATAGGCCGTTGTAAATAAAATCTGAACAAAAACAGTTTCACTGTAAAAAATTGCGCCAAGTCCACGTTCATAAAACTCATCTCAATAACATTTATTTTATGTGCCTGACAAATTATTCGACTTGATATAAGTGTACTCATATTAACCTGTAAGTGCGATATAAATAACAAAAAATCAATTTCAGTTTCGAGAAAACTGCTTTTTTTGAAATGTCGAGAGTAGAGCACAACCTCAACGCTTCGCTTATGAGGCGTGCAATAATATCACGAGAGGGCGACTCATGTATTAGCTTATTGTCATTTCAAAATTCAAATTTTTCAATATATTAATGTGTTTTAATATGGCACTTGCTGATGAAAATAAAATATTTTAAACATTGAATGGATTAAACGGATATTTTTTTTTACGTGAAAAAAATTTTAAATATCAATATCTTCCTCTTTTATTATTTTCTTTATTATTTATTTCCAATTATTAAACATGTACGGTTCGATTATAAATATTGTGTTAATTAAAATAAATTTATACCGCCGGAAAATTTATAACACCGTTTTAACACCGAAAAAAATATTTACACCGCTAACGGTGTTACATCGGTGTTATTATAACACCGATTTCGGTGTTAAATTTAACACCGGTAATTTTAACACCGGACTTACACCGGTTTTTTTTTACAGTGTAGAAATATTATTTTTTTGAACTCAGCGAGCTCAAAATATCACATAAATTAAATTTTGAGCTTAAAAATCTCAAAAATGTCATAAGTACAATTTTAAGCGCCCAGGAATGGAATTAGTGGAAAGTTGCACGGATGGCCTTTAGGGTGAACCGTTTTTCTAATTTTTTCTCTACAGTCCCTGTGAAGTAGTATTTCGGTGAAGTAGTATCTCAAGATATAAGTGTCTTTGCGAACTTACTGTGCGAGTATGACATACAATTTTTTACGGGACGTATAACAAAAATATAAGAATTCACAGAAATTTGAAATGAATACATTTTTGAAGTTATACTTCTTTTGGCGCGTTGGAGAAAAATTATGAGAGTGAATTTTTACGATGCGCGCGCACACCGACAGATAAATTCTACATCGTAAAGTTAGTTCTAGGTGGTATGAAAATTGATAACTATGTTCAAGTTGTATATTCTAGTATTTTTATATTGAGAACACGTGTTTCATAACAGTACAATTAAACATTTATTTATGAATAAATAAATATTATTTTGGTGTTTTTATTAAATCAATTTGATATACGACGGTGATAGTATTTACTAATAATTTATTATTTATTAGTATATCTATATATATTGAATATTAGTGATAAAACTGATTTGAATAAACTATTTTGAGTGCATTTATAGATTTGAAGTTAATTGTCGGTATGTATAATTTATTTACATCGTTAATTAAAAATTATTACATTATTACCTAAAAAATATTTTTTTTTTCGTTTTGTTTTATTTCTGATATATTAACAAATTTTATGTATAAGTAAAAAAAAAATTAATAAATTTTTCAATACTTGTTTATATTAACCTTAAATGCTGAGTGTTTATTCTATCTTTGATTTTAACTATTTGTTAAAATTTGATTTATTGATATTTCAATTATTTTTTATATTTTTGAAGTTATACTTCTTTTGGCGCGATGGAGAAAAATAATGAGAGTAAATTTTTACGATGCGCGCGCACACCGACACCTAAATTTAACATCGTAAAGTTAGTTCTAGGTCGTATGAAAATTGATAACTATGTTCAAGTTGTATATTCTAGTATTTTTATATTTAAAACACGTGTTTCGTAACAGTACAATTAAACAGCGTGAATAAATAAATATTATTTTGGTGTTTTTGGACTTTATTTTTAATAATTAAATTAGAACAAAAAAATATTTTTTAAAAATTGCACTTACAGTTTTTGAAGTTTTTTACAAGTGAAAATTTTTTTTTTTATTTTTTTGTAATCATTTTTTCAATAAAAAAAATTCTAAAAATTTTTATATGTCAGCTAACTTAATTTTCATAATAATTAAAATATTTTATAACGATCGATTGTAAACTATTGATACTTTGAAGCTTCAAAATTAGTTGATTTAGAAAAATTTTAAATAATATTAAATTAAATTCATATGATAATTAATGATTCTATATTTATACGGTATAGCTAAATTTTTACTATAATAAAACCTATTTGAATTTTTTTAACATTTTTCTTCCATCATTTTTGCATTTTGCACGACTCATGATGCGAAGCATCAGAGAGTGCTTTACGATCGAAAAATTTTTTTCGCCTCATTTTGGCAGCTATTTTTATTATTATAGCCTTGTTAGTTCAAGAAATCAAGATATTTTGCATATACTATTGTCGAGATAATTTAATGGAGATTAATTCCATACTTTTTAAAAATTGATTTACTGCAATAGAATTGGAAAAAAACACCAAAATAGGTCAAAAAATTTTCCCGTCCGTTATGTGTGAAACCCCGGAAACACTGTAATAACTTGTGAAAAAATCCATTATTTGAGTTAAATTTTTTTTTTTAATTTTGATCGACGATTGTAGGTCACTGAATGCGAATGATTAATTAATTCATTGTCGTTTAATTACAATTAATAAAAAACAAAAACTACAAGACTGTATATCTATATATATCCATGTAAAATTAACATGGATGGTGATATATCTATATCTATAGATATTATGTACATTTATTCCACCAGAGGCGCTTGTGCAGTACCTTCCTAGTACAGCTGTTTTTTTGGCAACTAATTTTCAACGACTTGTTTTTTTTTTTTTTCAATATTTGATAATTAAATGAGCATTATGAGTCGTGCACTTTTGGATTTTCCAAACTTTTTTTTCTTTAAAATATTTTTTATTATGTGCCAAAGAAGTATAACTTCTAACGCGTGTACATAAGTACACACACCATTTTTTAACTACGGCACAGTCAATGTCCGCCAAGTTCGATAAAAATCGGTGGGAGCGTACTCTCAATAATATCAATAGCCTCGCGTTTCACTTATACAAGTTCGCAGTGTGTTTTGATTTACGTTCTCCCCGACAACCACAGACAAAGACGCTTTAAGACTCCTTGAGACTTAAGGGTTAATCAAACACCACAAAATCAAAAATATTACATTTTACTTTGTTTCTTAACATTGTAATATCTTATTTTTTTTTTATTTATCTTTCAATGTAATTTAATCATTATTACTCTTAAAACTTCTAACACTTCCTATTATTAATCATGCAAAAATTTCGACATGTTAATTTGTTTTTTATAACATAAAATTGCTAGTAATTGTCGAATAAATAAAAAAAAAAGGAAAAATTTTACATGTATGTGACATTAAATAACAAACAATTTATAAATTTAATGTCCCAAGTGATTATAAAGTGCGAGAACGGATGCAAGAATAATCAACGAGCGTTTATTTAAGCATGAAAAAATAAGAAGACATTAAAATACAATTTACGTATGAGTTAGTAATTATTATTTATTATTATTGTTATTAGTTTTAGTTTCTTCATTTTTTTATTGTTACGGATGTTATTTAATTACCGGATGAGAATAAGATAGTCTTTTGTATCACATATACTGACAGATGATAAATTGACTGTTATTACTATTATTTTTTACGTAAATCACATATTACTGCTTATTCATTATTACGCTATATTTATTAATATTGACACCTCTAATTTAACACTTGTATACTACAGTGTATAATATTATACTCGATAATTGTATAGCTCGTTGGGGAATTAATTAGAAATTCATGCCGCAGTGTAAATATAATAAATTCTTTTCAGTTGATTTTATTGAAATGTTGCCGCTGAAATTTATTCGATATGAATGTGTATTTTATATCATAAAATTATTCGTGCATGAGGTTTTCAATTGATCATTTATGTCCATGACATCTACGTTTAATGTATTTTCCGCGCTCCGCTATTAAAAACTTCTAACTTTTTTCCATACAATAAAATAAATAAATTTAAAAACTGATCGAGGAAATTTCGACATTTCAATAATTTTTCGAATAATTTTTTAGAATAACCATTATTATAAATACTCGAAAGTTCCGTCCGAGATTGATCGAGTAAAAATTTTCAAAATATTTCGTTGAAAATTTTTTCACTTCAAAAACTTTCTAGAATATTTTAAATT